GTTGGATCAAGGAGTTCGGGGGGGGGGGGGGGGGGCGGGGGGTCAGTCTCATCTTGAATGTCTTCCATCTAAGATGACATGAACTGTCATTGGATCAGACCTGGACCTTCAGATGCGAATCATGTCCAGACTCATGGAGAGTGGAACCCACCCACTCCATGTTTGCTTGCTGGAATGAGGAGCATGCTGAGCAGTAGGCTGATCTAGCCTGGGTGTAACAGGGAGCGCCATACAAAGTCATTTGTACCATAAGACTATACATATGCAGCACATCCAGAGGCACCATGGGCTTTGGTGAATTAAGCCATTCCTCAAGTACAATTAAAATGCACCTCTATCTATCTATCTATCTATCTATCTATCTATCTATCTATCTATCTATCTATCTATCTATCTATCTATCTATCTATCTATCTATCGATCGTGCTTTTACCTTTGTGCCAAATCAAATTTTGTTTGTGTTCGGCTTTTCTAGACATTTATTATCCTCCCCTCTGAATCTAAACCTCAATGAAAATAAATATTTGAGTTATAAATCAAAGTGTGTGTGTGTGTGTGTGTGTGTGTGTGTGTGTGTGTGCGCGCGCGCGCAGCTGTCAGTCCGTCAGTCTGGCATAGCAGTGCGGATGAGCCGGATACGCCAACTTTAAGCAATATAGTTGATCAAATTCACACCGAATTCAGACTCGGACACGTTCCGCACTCGGAATACTGGCTGCGCCTAAAAATAAACACCTTTTCGGGGCAGACAAACGACGAAGAAAGAAAGTGGGAGTGGGATTTTGCTTGAGACATATTTGAAGGGTTGTTGGCTTAGCCTGACTGGGTGAGTTAGCATGCTAACGGAGCAGCGCTGCAGTGGATGTCTCTCCACCCGCTCTTTTTTCTCCAAATTAAACTGACGTCGCTCAAATTACATATTATTCTTCATTTTCAGTGGTATCGGTCAGTATTTGGTTTGTTTTTTCTTTAAGCGAAGTGTTAGAAAAGCTCCCGAGTGGAGACTGACTTGGCAGGCTAGCTAGTTAGCAAGTAAGGAGGGCTTACTAATGAAGTCTTAAGGAGCTTTTGCAGTTTACGGACGAGAACTTACAAATAATACGGCTTTTTGCTCTGAACTTTAATGTTATATGTAACAGCAGACTTTTTGTAGCACATTTGGCGAGATATTCATCTGTCTAGCGATCTAATAGTTGAGTTGGTACAGCTAGCTGGCTGCGGTTAGCTTACTGAACGTTATGCCAAATTATATTTTACTAAGAGACAGTTAGGACCCCACTAGCTTAATTAAAACACTTGTCACTGTGTGATAGTTAATTTATTGTTATACAACAAACAATGGCCTCGGCTGGTAACACTGTCTCATCGTTTGCGAGCAAAACGAAAACGAAGAAGAAACACTTCGTGTGTCAAAAAGTGAAGCTGTTTCGTGCCAGCGACCCTCTCCTCAGTGTTCTCATGTGGGGAATAAACCATTCGGTGAGTCCAAATCTGCAGTCTTTTTCTTTGTTTGTGTCCGTTATTGATCAGTGCATTAGAGTTAACGAGAAAAAAGAAGTTCAGCATGTCTCGCAACCGACAATTGGCACCATCTGTTGGGTTCATGCACTTCATGACCATCAGAGGTCTGCTTTGATTTTCTCTTGCCTAACCTTCAGTTTAATGGACAGCATTCTGTTTTGCTCCTTAAAACACTTGCAGTTGCATATTAATACGTTCCTTATAGCATGAGAACAAAACCTGTCAATGTTTATATAAAGAATTGTTCACTTAAGGTTACTGTGCTTGTCGAAACACTTCTGCAAACGTGATCATATTGATGGAAATGAGTGTAAAACCTTAATTGTGAGGCTTATACAGTAATGAATCTTATTTGTAAGGTCTCTGTGTCCTTTTATGTGCATGCAAAGAGGTTGCAAAATAATATCTGTATGAGTAGTGGAGTTGTGGGTGAGTAATCGTTTCCTGTTGGAAGTTTTGGTTGCGAGATGATAAGCTTAGAGGTTTGCTGAAGCAAGACTCATCTCAGCTGACTACTGACTGTTATTGCTTGCACCATTATCTGTCTTTGGAGAGGAAAGCCTCGCTGATGTGTTTTTCTTATAGGCTTATGCAGTTCAGTTGGGAGTGGTTCATGTTCATATACTTGTGGGTGTGCTTGACTGTACTTTGAGATGAAGAATGGCAGTATTTGCTCTACAGATAACAAAATCATTCAGATTTAGATGCCTTTATGTGTGTCCCTTTGGTTGTCCATTTATGTTTGGTGTGACAGTCTTCACCTCCTGCTGTTTGTTAGATGTTTCTTTATGAATGAACTGTCACAGACCAAACATACAGCATTCCTCTAGTGTTCTACCTGAAAATGTCTTAAAATGTCATTCTTTTAATGTCTTTTAATGAGTTACAGCTTGTTTTCGGTTTCTTCTTTTTTTCTACACTGTCTGGTGACATTTTCCAAATGGTAGCTGTGTTTAGTTGTCTGAGACATATTAAAGTTTTGTTATTTTCCAGTCACACATACCATCCTTAAGTGTCATTTTTCTGATTTATTTGTATATTTACAGTGGATAAATGTAGCCTACATGGATGGTTGACATTTAAGAAAATGTTCCAGTAGAAAAGGCATGAAAATAATGTAGCTATTTGTATTGTACTCATGACCTTTTGTGAAAGCACATCCTCATTGTCCTTTGTCAAAAATAATTTCATCATAATTTTAAAAACACTCTGAACATTTATGAAAAAAAATCAGCAAATAAGCATGTGTGTTCATATGAATATAAATACTGATATTAGTGATTATTTCTATTTATTCATTTATTATTGTATATTTAATTGTGGATACCTTTTCCATATTTTTTATTACCTTTGCCCTCATCTAACCTTTACTTGCATCAACAAAATATAAATTTTAGTTTTTACAGGATTTTGTATTATTATTATTGTTATTATTTTTATTTAACTAATTGTACTTCTAAATAAAAAATATTGTGTGATTATAATTTTAAAGTAATTATTGATTAATATTTGTTATGGCCAGAATTATAATGTTGTTTCTTGTTAAAGTCACAATGTAGCAGAAGTTTTCTTCTGTTTTGTGACATACATTTGCGTGAAACTGATTATTTAAAAGTAAGACGGGGAATTTGTTCTATCCATTGGTTTTTGATTTGATTGAGACATATCTGAATATTTCACTTGAATACTGAGTTATTACATTGTAATAAACCCTCATGTTTTGTTTTGGTCACTTTTCTGGTCACACAAATCTTTCCCTCCTAAGCTCAAATCAGTGAGGCTTACAACCAATCAGTTCCAAAAAGAAATACAAAAACCGTGGGAAAGAAAACAAGTTAACAAAAAAATGTAGGCCTAATTTAAGATTTGCTGATAATATAGCTTAATGAGAGATTTACTTGCAGTTTTTAAAAAGTGTATAGGATTTCTAGCACAGCAGAAGAGTTAAAAATGATCAACTCAAAAAAGATTAAATAAGAAAGTTGTTTCTTGTTAAAGTCACAATGTAGCAGAAGTTTTCTTCTGTTTTGTGACATACATTTGCGTGAAACTGATTATTTAAAAAAAGTAAGACGGGGAATTTGTTCTATCCATTGGTTTTTGATTTGATTGAGACATATCTGAATATTTCACTTGAATACTGAGTTATTACATTGTAATAAACCCTCATGTTTTGTTTTGGTCACTTTTCTGGTCACACAAATCTTTCCCTCCTAAACTCAAATCAGTGAGGCTTACAACCAATCAGTTCCAAAAAGAAATACAAAAACCGTGGGAAAGAAAACAAGTTAACAAAAAAATGTAGGCCTAATTTAAGATTTGCTGATAATATAGCTTAATGAGAGATTTACTAGCAGTTTTTAAAAAGTGTAAAGGATTTCTAGCACAGCAGAAGAGTTAAAAATGATCAACTCAAAAAAGATTAAATAAGAACTTAAACGCATGCATAGACGAATCATTCAAAAGATGCATTTAGAAAATAACTTTTTCATTTCATGCTGACTTTAATGTTGTTTTACGTAAAAATATAAAATCACAGCCATTTGTTAGGTTGTCTTGCATGTTATAAACCTCAACAGAGAGCTGTGGTGCTTTGTGCCATGGGTTAAAGCGGAGGTCAGGTCTTGGTCTTGCGGGGCTGGAATGGAATTGGAGAGAGGGGGAGGCCAAAAATCACAAGCGAGAAGCAGAGAACAGATCCTTCCTTATCTGTGACAGCTCCATCAGTTAAATACATTGACCGCTGCTGACTGGAGCCAAGCAGCACTACTACATTTTGTACAAATATGACTGCTGCACTCGCGTCACACAAGAGATGTATAGAAAGCCATGCAAAGTTAAAACAGTTTAAACTTTTAGAAAACACTTCACATTTGTGGAGGTTTATTCCTTTTCACTGCGTCTCATATGTTTTTAAAGGCAATCTATGTGATAGGCGATTCGGATCTTTGGATTAAGCAATGCATAAATATGTGATGCTGTTTTGTTCATAATTGTGCAATTTATGAAATTATATTTGATTTATATGTAGGGCTGGGTATCGAGTTCGATACTTTTAAGGCACAGACCGAATTGCCTCGATACCATTGAGTATCGAAAAACGTCTCATCGTTCGGTACCAAATTTCAATACCTAAGGGGTTAATCTCATCCGCGTCAGTGAGCCAATAATCCTGCAGCACTAGCCACCGGTTACACTCAGAGATGTGGCGCACATGCGAGGCTGTAGTGTGAATGCGTCCCAGCCCCCATAGATGTAAGGCTACATTTACACTGGTGCATTTGTTTTAAAATGAAAACGATCCTCGTCATACTGGCGTTTCCACTGCGTTTCAAGCCGGCTTTCCACTATCTCCGACAAACGACAAGCGACAGACCGGACATTCATTTCCAATGGAGAGTAGCGCGAGAGGTGCATGCAGATGTCCGTTCATACTACACGACCGAAAGCGCGTGTTATGTTGACCATTCATGCAAACTGTAGCATCACGCTACATAAGACAATAAATAAGATTTATATTACGCTTTTACTCAAAACTCACTTTAAACCACCATCGAGTGTTTGTGATAGGCCTAACTTCCGATTGCCGTCTAATGTGTGTTTTGGCCATGTAATGTTGCTGAAATTAAATATGTCATTACCTCTGAGTCAGAGCAGCGATCATGGAAGAGAGAACACATGCAGACAGTGCTGGAAGCTGCTAATGCTCATCAGTAAATCAGTGGAAAATAAATGAAATCATGATTCTGTCTGAGCTATGCATTTTAAAGCGAACATTAACTAGTGTAATTGTAGCCTAACAGATGTGTAAACTGAAGACTATTTGAGCTTTATTAAAACTATTTTGCACTGATTTATTGTGTTAGTTACATTTTGTTCCTTTTGTGCAGTGGCTCAGGAGACGAGTCTTTGAGTTTGTATAAACATCAACATGCTGAAAAATAAAACCAAAGGTATCGAAGTCAAGGTATCAATATCGAAATTTTTTGAAGGATACCCAGCCCTATTTATATGAGTTAATTTAGACGTAATGCATGTTTTTTATAGACAGTTATTTCCTTGCCATGACAATTTAATGTGCTGCATTATTTTGCTCATTGCACCCTCCTGTGGCCTCGGGAAACAAACCAAAAGTTTAACCTATTTAATCTGCATATAAAATATTTGGTTAATTTGTATTTTGTGTTTGACTGTTAAAACAAACAAATATTTGTTGTTTGTCTCAATAAATTGAGTTAATTTAAAAATACAGGGGTTAAATGTAAACAATTTTTTCTATTGCTCTTTGTTTTAAAAAAGGTTATAAAAAATGTCAATAATTATCGATACCGAACGATATGAAATATTATATCGTTGATACATTTGTTTAGCTATATCGCCCAGCCCTACAAGCAACTCTGAGAGCATGTGGTCAAGAAAGTTGAGGGTGGAGTAGTTGGTGCAGCTCTCTGTGGTGTTCTACTGCTAATGAATCATGCATGCAGCTGCAGGCCCTCACTGAGCTCAGACTACTAAACAGAAAAGCAGCAGCTCTTGACCACTAAGGACCACGATGCTTGAATTTGATTAGCAAACCAGTGAATGGGGAAGATAATTTAACCTAATTCTGTCTCATATCAAGGAGCACCTCAGCTTTTGTGTTCAAGCTGTCGGTTTTTGTGTGTCTACTAAAGACTAATTTGTATATTCATTGAGATTGATATGAGAATTAATGCTGATAAGGTGGATATTCAGTTTAGATGATTATGAAACCAAACACTGTGGGAAGTGGTTGTTTTAGTCACTCATGGCTGTTCCTCTACCCCCCCCCCCCT